TGTTTAGAAAACGCACTGCCACAAACGGCAGCCATCTTGGAAATATGTGGAATGAGGGAACATACCATCATTTCACGCAGCTGTTAATGGCAGAAATGCGTCCAGAAAACATATTGACGCAAAACACTACTACTTAATCAATATCAGCACATCGTCCCATTTTCCCGCCACAAATGGCAGCCATATTAGAAATATGTTAAATATGTGAATATGTTATCATATTACTCAGTTGTAAACGGCAGAAATGGAATCTGCGACTCGAAAACATACATTTACACCAAAAAGACGACTACTAAATCAATATCAGAACACTGTCCCATTTTTCTGCCAAAAATGGCCACCATCTTGGAAATATGCAAAATAGATGAACATGTGATCATTTTACACTGTTGTAACTGAGAGAAATGGAATCTGTGCCCCTGAAAAGATATATATTGACACCAAATTAAAGACGACCACTTAATCAATATCAGCACATCGTCACATTTTCCCGCCAAAAAAATGGCCGCCTTCTTGGAAATATGCAAAATAGATCTACATGTGATCATTTTACACATTTGTAACTGGCAGAAATGGAATCTGTGCCCCTGAAAACATATTTATTGGCACCAAACACTACTACTGAATCAAAATAAGCACATCGTCCAATTTTCCCACCAAAAATCTGAAATATTTTCACGACCCCTGCCAATATTAATACATTGCCAAATCACAGTTGAATTGTCAATAACATTATAGATAAGGTAAACATAAAAAAAAATAAGTTCAATATTATCGCAAAATGGCTACCCTCAAATAATGGCCTCCCATACTATGAAGAGCTACTTAGAAAAAATGTCAACATTGGTTTTTTGTCATTAAACATCAAAACCTTTAAAATAAAACTTATTCCACGATTTCTACCCGAAAAGCCTACGGATGGGAATTATGTAATAAACCCAATCGGACTATGAGCATTTTCTGCTTAGGGTAAGCAGAGATAAGCAATTTCATTGGTTGATGCTTTGGGACACGATAACTTTAGTTCTAATTAAGTGAGAGTGATGAAACTTGGTGTATAGTTTCATTACATCAATACCTTGACTAAGTTTAATAATGAGCATTTTCTGCTCAGGGTAAGCAGAGCGATAAGCAATTTGATTGGCTGAGACTTTGGAACACCATAACTCTCCTTCTAATTGATGTAGAATGTTCAAATTTGGTGTAGGCTTTCATTAGGTGAATGCCTAGATGGAGTTCAATGATGAACATTGTATGCTTACAGTAAACAGAGATAAGCAATATGATTGGTTGATTCTTTGGGGCACAATAACTTTGGTTATAATGAAGTGAAAGTGAGGACACTTGGTGATAATTTTATCACATCAATACCTTGACTAAGTTCGATGATGAGCACTTTCTGCTCAGGGTAAGCAGAGCTATAAGCAATTTGATTAGCCGAGACTTTGGAACACCATAACTCTACTAATTGAGCTAGAATGTTCAAACTTGCTCGAGACTTTGAAACACAGTAACTCTCCTTCTAATTGAGGTAGAATGTTCAAACTTGTAGGTGTTTATTAGGTGAATGCCTTGATACATTGTCTGCTTACGGTAAGCAGAGATAAGCAATCTGATTGGCTGATGCTTTGGGGCACGATAACTTTTGTTATAATTAAGTGAGAGTGATGAAACTCCCGAGTATAGATTCATTATATCATTACCTTGACTAAGTTCGATGATAAGAATTTTCTGCTTAGGCTAAGGAGAGATAAGCAATTTGATTCGTCAAGACTTTGGAACATAACAACTCTGCTTTTAATTGAGGTAAAATGTTTAAACTTGATGTAGATGTTCATTAGGGGAATGTCTTCGACTAAGTTCAATGATTAACATTTCGATCTAAAGCTAAGCAGAGCTACGTAATTTGATTGGTCGATGCGTTGAGACAAGATAACTTTGATTCTATCTGATAGAGAGTGATGAAACTTAGTGTATAGGTGATAATCTGTTTGATTGCTGGATACTTTTGAAAAAAATAAAGGTACGATTAATTAATATGTGTCATCTATTTATTTTGGGATTTTGGCGGGGGACATCAGCCTCACTGTTGGCTTGTTTAAATTGTTTCTGATAAGTATTAACAAATTTATTAACTATATGGGGATCACGTGGCTAAGTGGGTAAGACGCTGGCTCGCTAGCCTGGAGGTCAGGTGTTCGATCCCTGCATTGGCCGAGAAAGTTCATTCATATTTTCCAGTGTGGATTCCCCTTGTCAGTGATGCAGGATGGAGGGCCTGACAAGGACAGCTGTCTAGTCGTTCAGATGGTACGAAAAAAACGAGGTCCCATGTACATATTGACGTGCACGTAAAAGATCCCTTGACAATTTCCCTCATAGCACACTGTATGGCGTATGCTCGTCTTCATTAGCCCAGGTTAGGAGCAGAACAGTAGGACGTTAAACCCCATTTCATTTCATTTCATTTTATTAACTATATGAAATAAACAATGGTCCTCACAATAGTTATTTGGCTATCACGATTCTCGATAATAAAACTTCTAGCATGCATTTTGTTCCTGCGTTTTATTAAGTTCACTGCTGGTATTGTCTGAACACTATCATAATGAGTAGAAGTTTTGGAAAAGGCGGGAAAATATCACATGGTTTACGCATGATTAAGTTTCAAGACGATCCGTTAATAAATGCGTCCTGTATATGACAGACAACCAAATACAAAAAATGGGCGTGGTTTTGGCCCTGGGGGTCGGGCATGCACCAAAAGCAATAGGGATCATCCTTATGGTATAAGGAATAAGTTTCAAGACAATCCATAAAGAATTGTGCCCTGTAGGTATAAAAATTTAGGGTCCTATAGAATTTTATCGGATTCTATACAATGTACATGTAGTCAAATTTTGGTTTTGGGGTAAGCCTTAAAAAAGACTTGGAATGTGGGCCAATCATTTGGAAGACTAAAATGATGTAATCATTATTTTAGATTTTTTTTTTCGGTAATAAGAATGTCACAAACTGTTTTAAATGTGACAAATTGCTATTTCTATAGTCGACTTTGCCATGTTTTTTTTTCTTGGAAAAGTCACTAGAAGTGGTTCCAAAATATTTTTTTCTCGGTATGTTGAGCAAGACTTTGGTTGCACCCCTCGACTCCCTTTTTTATACGCGCACATGGAAATGTGGTCGTATATTGCCATCGCCCCCGTCCGTCAGTCCGTTGGTCCGTCCATCCACAATTTCTTGTGCACAGTGTACATTTATCATCTGATTGTTTTGAAATTGATATTTAATTTCAATAACTTCCGTTGATTTCTTCTCGAGTTATTGCCCTTGTTTCACTTTGTTGCACCTTGTGATCGCGCTAACGACAAAAGTTATTAACCGATCTGTATGAAATTTATATGCATCATTTAAATTAGTGAAACGAAGAAGCCTATTGAATTTCAGCAATTTCTGTTAATTATGCCGTGAGTTATGGCCCTTGTTTCACTTTGTTGTACCTTGTGAATGCTCTAACGACAAAAGTTATTATCCGATCTGTATGAAATTTATATGTATCGTTTAAATTAGTAAAACAAGCCTATTGAGTTTCAGCAAATCTCTGTTAATCACATGTAGAGTTATGGCCTTTGTTTCACTTTGTTGAATCTTGTGAACGCTCAAACGACAAACGTTATCACCTAATCTGTATGAAATTCATATGCATCATTTAAATTAGTGAAAAGAAGAATTTCTGCAATTTCCGTCAATTACTTCTAGAGTTATGGCCCTTGTTTTACTTTGTTGAACCTTGTGAACGTTCGAACGACAAAAGTTATCATCTGATCTGTATGAAATTTATATGCATTATTTGAATTAGTAAAACGCAAAAGCCTGTTGAATTTCAACAATTTCTGTAGATTACTTCCAGAGTTGTGGCCCTTGTTAAACTTTCAGTTTTTAGAACCTTGTGAACCCTCAAATGATGAAAATTATAATGTCATCTGTATGAAATTGTCTATTAAATTCCCCTAATCACCTACAAAAGAATAATTATGTGACAACCCTTGTCGACTGCTCGGACAATTTAGCTGCTGTGGGCGTATGTTTTGTTGCCTGGCCACCCATCTTGAAACTTTGCATACCTATTCCTTATACCCTAAGGAAGATCCTATTGTTTTTGGTGAATGCCCGACTCCCAGGGGCTGAGCCACACCCATTTACTTGGTGTGTCTGTGTGTTGCCTGCAGGCCGCAATTTTTAATGGATCGTCTTGGAAGTTGATGTAAGTATTCCTTATAGCCTAAGGACAGCAACTTTTGATTTTGGTGCATGTCCCGACTCCTACCACGCCCAATTTTTGTGTTTATCGTATACTGTCCGCAATTCTGAATGGATCATCTTCAAACCTGACATATGTATACTTATAGCCTAAGGGCGGCAACTATAGATTTTGGTGCATGTTCCAACCCCAGGGGCAGAGCCACGCCCATTTTGTTGTTTTTAGCGTCTGAAGGCCACAATTCTGAATGGATTATCTTGGAATTTAGTATATTTATTCCTTATACCCCAGGGATAGCAACTATTGATTTCAGTACATGGTCCCTCCCGTTGGGCGGTACCACACCCTCATTTTTTTCATATTTTGTCTGTAAATAATCTACAGGTTGCAATTATTAACATATTTCCATCATAGGCTTGTACCTATTCATATTGGTCCACGCCAAAATTTCTGCATTTTTTGTCTACAGGCTGGAATTCTGAAGCTGAATGGATCATCTTTGAACTTGGCATATTTATTCCTTATCTTATACCGTAGGAATAGCATGTCCCGACCCCCAGGGGTAATGTCACACCCACTTTATTTCAAAAAGTACCATATGAATCAATATGTGGATGTATATTGTAGCGATAGCGGTGCTCTTGTTTCTATAGGACCTTTTTACAAAGGTGGCCTTAGTAACTGGATTAGCAGAGCTGTTTCATGGCCATGCAACATTCTTTTTACCTTTGACTTTCAGATCAGAATTTGGATTGGTTAGATAATAGCAGTTTCACAGCATCTTCTTATTCTGCTTACAAAAGTTTGCAATCACAAGTTGAGAAAGAACAAAAAAGGTGAGAATTAAAAACCCATTTACTTAAAACTACAAATTACATAGTAAAAAATTTGTGAGTAGGCGAACAGCCCTTCCTGATTTCTCTCAGCTACTAGTTTCGTTCTTATTTGAACTCTTCAGGCTTAAATGAGGATGTGCGGTGGCCCTCTATATATAGTGTCGGTGGGCACCTGAGCACATGTGACGTCACAGATGGACCGGAGTCGATCTTTGGCACAGGAGTCGATTATTCCGAAAAGTGTGCAAAGATATTCGGCTAAGAAATTTGCCGTCATGATTATGCTAATTAGCATTGACTCAAGGCTCCTAACCCTTAATTGAACTTTTAAGTTTAAAGTTTTCTAAACTAACGAGGGCTTAAAAATAACTCTGTTGGGTTAAGGGCGTGTATGCACTAATTTTTTATTAGATATCGCCGTGGGGGTACCACGGCTAAATTAATTGGGAACTCGTCCCTGGTTTTCATATTCTGCCTTGTGTTAGGCTGAGAATTATGCTACTATTTCGCATACTTTGAAAAGTGGCTCTAGGAAAGTCTTTTTTGAATTCAACAAGGAGCTCACAGAGTTGTTTTTGTGTTTCTCGATTGAAACATAAAAATACCCAGTCTTCTTTACTGATGTTTGATTCTGCCAAATCATCACATTCAATGTGCGAAAAACTGGCCAGGCCTTTAGTTCGAGACAAGGATCGACTCCTTCATAAAAGGCCTCCCAATTACTCATGGTTGGGAATGGTACAGGACAAGGCGATCTGTCATATTTTACCTCCGGTGTTTCGGAGACATTGTCCGTAATAGTAGCATCCCGAGACATTGTCCGTAATAGTAGCATCCCTGTTTTTGATGCTATTATTTGAACAACTTTCCTCACATTGAGGGGAAAGATGACCGATGGTTTGTTTCACAGCGTTGTCCAAGATTTCAACTTGGTGTTTCGTTTTCTGGTGATGGGTGAGATTGTCCAACATTTTATAATTTCGATTGCACGATTTGCACCAGAACTTAAGCTGGGTATGAAAGCTACGGTAGTGCCGCTTCAAGTTGTATGAGCGCGTGAAAATCTCCCTGCAAATTCCACAGATGTGCTTCATTTTCGAAAGTAGGAATAGTAGTGAACGTCCCTATTGTGACGTCACGGGATATCTTTAAGGCTTAGTGATGGCAGCGTGCCAGGTGTTTTGAGCGGAGTCGATAATACGAGTTCCAAAAGTAAGGGTGCACACGAGAGTAATAGCTAATGGAATTTTAAGATTGTAGTGCAAAGGGGTCAGTGGGGAAAAACGTTATTGTTTACAAATTACATTGAAAAAATTAACTTATAGGTTAAATTATAGGTTTTGTCATTAATTTAGAAACATACAGCCTGTCACCAACTGTCAAGATTTCACTCTGAAATATTGTTCCGATCAATTAGAAATTTTATCATAATAGAGGCTGAACAAACTGGGCTTTAGGAGGGTGCCCCTAGAAATGGTTTCACTATTGATAACATCCGTCTTTGATTCCAGCCACAGCAGTGGACTTCCTTTGAGCAAGTTTTGTAATCATCAAAAAAGTTATAGGCTTGTAATTCTTTAGCTATCAAGTGATCTGGCCCCAAAAGGTACTACATAGCTTAACAATGTTTAACATATAATTAACCAATCCATATTGAAAAATCCAATGGCTATCCAAGATTTTACTTGGGTAATGTTATGGTACTTGTGTACATATAAAATGTCTCTTTGAAAGTGTAAAATGCATTACCACAAAGATAAAACCATTTACTTCAACACAAATTATGATGATGTGTGTTGAAAATTATATTTTTTTGAGGATTTTTATAATATAAGCCCACATTTTCATCCACAATTGTTTGTGAACACTCTACAAGTCACAATTTTGATCCGATTTCAATGAAACATGAAATATAGGTTTATCATCCTACGATCTCGGTTCCTTTCGATATTGGCATGTATCGGACTGTAACTTCATGGATTATGGCCCCTGATTGTACGAAAAATCATGTTTTTAGACTGTGAACACTGGAGAAGTCACAATTTTTATCCAATTTGGTTTAAAGGAGCTAAATGGCTAACATTTGGGACCTAGAAATTGACAAAAGTGGGTAGCAACGCATATAATACTGTAATATGAATGTATATAAACTGATTTACATTCAATGGTTTCCGTTTTTACTCCAATTTCAAATCAGTTATGTTCGGCGAAATAAGCCAGCAGTCTCAAGCGAGTGCAAATTTCTAGCGTCTGGTTATTCCAGTCTACATACGCCGTTTGATTTGGTGCAATGTGTCTAGCCTCGTCCGTCGAGTCTCTTGATACAACTGGGGCTGAAGCGCATTATGGTACACGATTCGTGTACCAATGGTAAAATGTTTATTTTGTCTTAAATATTGGATATCAACAGCCCATCTTTTTCCCATAAGATCACAACATGAATGTTGAATTAATTTGACAAATAAATTGTGTTTTCAATGTTGAAGATTTTGGATGATATTGAGTTAGAGACTTAGCTACTTTAAACTTGAAATGTATGTTTATAACCCACAGTTCTCGGTTCCTTTCGATATTCGCGCATATCGGACCATAACTTCCTGAATTATGGCCCCTGATTGTACGAAAAATCGCGTTTTTAGCTTGTGGGCCCCATAGAGGTCACAATTTTTATACGACCGTCTGTCCGTCGGTCCGGCGTCCGGTCCGGCGTCCACAATTGCTTGTGGACGCTCTAGAGGCTAAAGTTAATATCCGATTGACTTTAAATCTATACACAGTGTATAAGGTCATGAGACGAAGAAGCCTATTGATTTTCAGCGATTTCCGATAATTACTGCAAGAGTTATGGCCCTTGATCACTTCAAAAAATTTTGTGGACGCTCTAGAGGCTAAAGTTAATATCCGATTTCCTTTAAATTTATACACATTGTTTAAGGTCATGAGACGAAGAATCCTATTGATTTTCAGCGATAATTACTGCCAGAGTTATGGCCCTTGATCACTTCAAAAAATCTTGTGTACGCTCTAGAGGCTAAAGTTAATATCCGATTTACTTTAAATTTATACACAGTGTTTAAGGTCATGACACGAAGAAGCCTATTGATTTTCAGCGATTTCTGATAATTACTGCCAGAGTTATGGCCCTTGATCACTTCAAAAAATCTTGTGGACGCTCTAGAAGCCAAAGTAAATATCTGATTGACCTTAAATTTATACACAGTGTTTAATGTCATGAGACAAAGAAGCCTATTCATTTTCAGCGATTTACGATAATTACTGCCAGAGTTATGGCCCCTGATCCCTTTGAAAAATCTTGTGGACGCTCTAGAGGCTAAAGTTAATATCCGATTGACTTTAAATTTATACACAGTGTTTGATGTCATGAGACGAAGAAGCCTATTGATTTTCAGCGATTTCCGATAATTACTGCTAGAGTTATGGCCCTTGATCTCTTCAAAAAATTTTGTGGACGCTCTAGAGGCTAAAGTTAATATCCGATTTCCTTTAAATTTATACACATTGTTTAAGGTCATGAGACGAAGAAGCCTATTGATTTTCAGCGATAATTACTGCCAGAGTTATGGCCCTTGATCACTTCAAAAAATCTTGTGTACGCTCTAGAGGCTAAAGTTAATATCCGATTTACTTTAAATTTATACACAGTGTTTAAGGTCATGACACGAAGAAGCCTATTGATTTTCAGCGATTTCTGATAATTACTGCCAGAGTTATGGCCCTTGATCACTTCAAAAAATTTTGTGCACGCTCTAGAGGCTAAAGTTAATATACGATTTCCTTTAAATTTATACACAGTGTTTAAGGTCACGAGACGAAGAATCCTATTGATTTTCAGCGATTTCAGATAATTACTGCCAGAGTTATGGTCCTTGATCACTTTCAAAAATCTTGTGGACGCTCTAGAAGCCAAAGTAAATATCTGATTGACCTTAAATTTATACACAGTGTTTAATGTCATGAGACGAAGAAGCCTATTCATTTTCAGCGATTTCCGATAATTAATGCCAGAGTTATGGCCCCTGATCCCTTTGAAAAATCTTGTGGACGCTCTAGAGGCTAAAGTTAATATCCAATTGACTTTAAATTAATGCACAGTGTTTAAGGTCATGAGACCAAGAAGCCTATTGATTTTCAGCTATTTCCGATAATTACTGCCAGTGTTATGGCCCTTGATCACTTTGAGTAAATACTGTAGAGGCTACAGTTAATATCCGATTGACTTTAAATTTATACACAGTATTTGAGGTCATGAGACGAAGAATCATATTGATTTTCAACGATTTCCGATAATTACTGCCCAAGTTATGGCCCTTGATCACTTCAAAAAATCTTGTGGACGCTCTAGAAGCCAAAGTAAATATCTGATTGACCTTAAATTTATACACAGTGTTTAATGTCATGAGACGAAGAAGCCTATTCATTTTCAGCGATTTCGGATAATTACTGCCAGAGTTATGGCCCCTGATCCCTTTGAAAAATCTTGTGGACGCTCTAGAGGCTAAAGTTAATATCCGATTGACTTTAAATTTTTACGCAGTGTTTGATGTCATGAGACGAAGAAGCCTATTGATTTTCAGCGATTTCCGATAATTACTGCTAGAGTTATGGCCCTTGATCTCTTCAAAAAAATTTGTGGACGCTCTAGAGGCTAAAGTTAATATCCGATTTCCTTTAAATTTATACACAGTGTTTAAGGTCATGAGACGAAGAAGCCTATTGATTTTCAGCGATAATTACTGCCAGAGTTATGGCCCTTGATCACTTCAAAAAATCTTGTGGACGCTCTAGAGGCTAAAGTGAATATCCAATTTACTTTAAATTTATACACAGTGTTTAAGGTCATGACACGAAGAAGCCTATTGATTTTCAGCGATTTCTGATAATTACTGCCAGAGTTATGGCCCTTGATCACTTCAAAAAAATTTGTGCACGCTCTAGAGGCTAAAGTTAATATCCGATTTCCTTTAAATTTATACACAGTG